CCCATTCGTTCCAATGCCAGTAGCGGCCCCACCAACACAAGCTATATCAGTAGTACCCGCACCAGGCTTTCATAATTCACAATTTCCATCTGACACTAACTCGAATTCTTTCCGCAAAACCATCAATCCTTTTTCTAACTTTGTAGACCCCCAAACCCAAGAAGCGAGTCAATATCCAAATACGAAAAAAGTGGACGACTACAACACAATATCAGGCTACGGAGATGATACAGCGCTGAAGTTCAGTAAAGAAGACATAAATGAGAAGATAGCTGAGATAGCGAAAGCGGGTAATATTTCAATGGAAGCGGTGGAAGCTGCGATCGCATTGAGGCAGCAGCAATTGTTGAACAAGTACGCCAACATACCAATCCCCACGACGCCATCTACATTAACCACCACGACAGAAGAACTACCAGTGTTTCAAACACAACCGGAGCCGGAAATTGTCGTAGCATCCGTACAGCAGAAACCAAAGAGGTATCTAGTTTTGTTCGATTAAATTCAATATCTCCAAAATAAGTTTAATTCTCCCATAATCAAATTCAATTTAATTTTCTAACAGAAACCCAACAACGGGGAAGGTAATGAATGCCCCGCGGGAATACTACCCGGTCGGCTACGAGAAGAATTTTGATGACCACTTCCAATCTAAGGTGGATCTGCCAGACACCAACTTCCATTGCGGAGACCAAAAATATTTCCCCGGTCTGTACGGGGACGAGAGTCTTGGTTGTATGGTAAGTTTAAATCCTAAGATGTATGAATTATTAATCTTTATAATATTCAAATGAATAATTATAATTTTTATCTAATACCAAAGACAAAAATTATAATAGACAATAATGAAACGTAAAAACTCTTTAAGTCCAACTAAACTGAAATTGAATCAATAAGCCTCTATGTAAACTATTTTATTCAAACCAAAATATTTCCTCACATTAATTTGTACCCAGTTTATTGACTTATCTTTATCCTCAGTAGATTGTGTTAGTATAACTGTTTAAATTGTATACAGTCTGAATCAATTAAACTGTTTCCAGGTGTTCCATGTGTGCGCACTAACCGACGACGGACTTGTAATGAAATCTTTCCTCTGCCCGGAGTCAACGCTCTTTGACCAGACGATCCTCAAGTGCAACTGGTGGTTCTACGTTGATTGCAAAAATACCGTACGTCTCTACGACACCAATATTCCTGTGTCCAAGAGCTACCAACTCATGAAGGCGCTTACATTCTTCTCATCATACAAGAAAGAGATGCAAGATGGTAAGATCAATTTGAACTATGAGTGATAAATTTCCATTTATTGTGTTGTTGTCTGTCAAATACCTGATAGCTTTAAGTTACCTTTGGTAGAATACATTTTTAAATCGATTTTATTGACGTTGTTCTACCGCACAACCAAGCTAATAACGTTTAAATAACTAAACTTTTTTATATTTCAGGCAACTCAATGAATCCTGAAGATGTGGATGGCATTAAAGAAGCTATTACAATATTAGAAAATCAAGACACTAATACGGCACAGAGTAATGTAGCTGAAAGTATACAAATAGTGACGCCACAGCCTATTATCATAGACGAAAGAAATAATCATAGAACACAATACTCGGAAACAATCGCACCTGTGTACAGAGGTACACGAGAATTCACTAATTCTACTGCAAGAAGAAATGCAAGACGAAATGTGACGAACAGTCAAGAAACAAAGGATGACGATTTCAAACTAATAACAGTCAATGCGAATATGAACTTTACTAAACCATCTGGCTTTGCGTTAACTGAAAATAGTCCGAAGAATTCCGCTGAAAGCACAGAAAAAAAATATAGAAGACGAATGACTTTAAGGTACTCACCAAGCACACAAGAAACGACCTCAACCACGACTTTTAAACCTTTAGAATTGACAACATTTACGTCATCATTGATAGAAATTATGAAACAAGAGATTCAACCTATAGAAAATTTAAGTTCACAAGTCAAACAGGAGAAACTGACTGATCAAATAGACCAAACAATTGTAAACGATTCAGAAACTAACTCTCCCATTAAAAGATTTTATAGATCGAGTGCTGAAAGCTACAAAGATGAGCAAGAGTTTGAAATAGTCAATGACAAAAAAATCCAAATCGTAAGGCCAACAACGACCGCACAACTTGTCGGCCAAAATCCAACTCCAACGGGCGCTATAGCTAAACTAGATGAAGCTGTTCTTGGAAGCAGCACACAAAGACTACGAAAGCACACAACGATAGTCGTTCCTGAGAAAACGGGCGTATTTCCAAGTCCGGACCGACCAGAAACGTAGTAATTATTCGTGTAGTCAATAATTATATTTAAGTGTCATATAAACCTCTTGTTAATTTATTTATTACTCATCAGATATGTAAGCCTAGGCCAATGTACTGTTGTTGATTGCGTATTTGCTCAATTACATTTTAGTCTAGTTGAGAAGTCGAGGTTCAGTCAAGTGATATTACGGTGTATGTTTTAGTTGTTTAGAATAAAACTTGTTTCCTAATTTATATGTTTCATTTACCTGACATTCAATTAACTTGACTTCAAGGTCAGCTTCATATCAAGATCCCAAAGAATAGGTATTTCATGCTTATATCATTTGATTCCTTAAAACTGGTAAAATGGTGATTTTAGAACTTATCAGTTTTAAAATGTGCTATTGCTCCTCAATAAAAAGCTGCACTAGTAAGTATTAAACAATGTTGGTTTAGAAATCGCCTTGATGAGGTCCAGGAATCATTAAAACACATTTGATTGATGCAATAATTTAATGAATCATCGTCTCGACGACTTGGTACAGATACATTTGAAGAATTTTTCACAAATCAATGGACCGAGGACGATGAGGCCGGCCGCCGTGACCGCCGTCAGCACACTCATACAAATCATGATTCTAGTTTTAGCTACACGCACTTCCTTCACAAAACTATCGACGCGGGAACTATCTGAAAATGGTGCAAAATTCTTCAAATGATTCTGGAAAATATTACTAACATACCATTATAGCAGAAGCTGATATTGCAGAAAGCACTAAACAAATGAATTTCCAAAATGTTTGCTAAGACTTCACATTTAGACGTTACGTTTATACTGCAGACAAGGACTTAACAAATACATCAGGTCCAGAGTAAGATTTAGTATAAGTGTTTAATACTATTTTGAGTTATATTTGTAGCCGTAAATCTGAAGACTAGAACGATTTTACAAATTACTTTGGCATTGCTATCTAATCGAATAATTTTAATAAATTATAAATTTTCTTCCAAGCTTTACATTGTAACAATAAATTGACAATAACTAACGTTTGCACGAATGACTACAAGATTTAGTAAATTTACCACAAATTAAGGGACAACATAAAACAAGCCCTAAAGCCACAATCACAGTGTAGATTGTCACACAAGTCATTTTATAGAAATCAAACTAATTTTGATATTGCTTTCAAGAAAATATCAATACCAAATATTGTCGGGTCACTTATGTCCAATGTAGGTCAGTAGTTCAGTCCGCAGTCTGGGCAAGTGGGATGGTTGGGGCAACAGCAACGAGTTTCCAGTATCCCACGAGTACAAAGTGGTACGCAGAATAGTATGGTAGTAGCAGTTATAATACTCAATAACGATATGCAAATCATACGAACATTGGACACGGGGCCTTCTCCCGTACGGTCTGTAACAATGGATACAAGTCACTTAATGACACAAAATCCTTAATTGAATATCATTGAATAAATACTTACTAGGTTTAGAAATAATTAATTGAACAATATAAGTTATGTATTAACAACTTTATAAGCTTTTTCAACTACTGCGGGGAGAACGAATAAAAGAAAAATTGCTGTTAAAAAAGAAGAGAATGCCATTTCAATACTACAAGTGTACAGAAATATATTTGTTATAATAATCGCTTTAGTTTTGATTCTCTTGTGCGATGACAGAAATCTGAAACAATAATTAAAACGTATTCTATATAGAAAATCATTTGAACAAACAAAACTTGTTTTATTTTCGTTGTTTCTACGCAAATTATTGTTTCGATACTATCATTAGAGTAATGTCTAAACAACAAGTAACATGAGTTTGTATTTACATTTAATTTTGTTTTATTCACCGCACACCAAGGCGCCCCGTCTTCTCCGACCAGGCTATCAAACTCGAAGTAGCCCTGACGTTATCAAGACTACCTTAACAACATTGTACAATAATTTCGCTCTCATGATGCTTGATAAATTTTCCTAGCCGATGACAGCTGACAGAATAATTATTTTTCCGTATTATAAGGCTTTCAAAATTTAAATTACTTTTCAATCGACTTCAAAGAGGTTCTCAATTCGTTTGTTTTTTGGTCCCATCATCACAAACTACACCAACTTTGGATAGCTTGGCTCTACAACGCCTAGCAAATTTTTAAATGCGTAAAATTTTGGGTTTAAAGTGTTTAATGTAACGATTAAAAAAAAACAGGCGCTGTGATCCTGATGAATTATTTGTTGCTAACCATGTGGTCAGCGGAGAATAAAAAGAGGCCTAATGTTAAACCCCCATTTAAATCGGTCCAGTGGTTTATTAATTACACAAATTTGTCAATTGATGATGTAGGGTTTAAGAAATAGGTAAAATGCTAATCTTTTAACATTCTGAGTAGCTTAGATGTGTAAATTTGATTCAAAAATAAAAAGTTTAAAATGTCATCGGTATAATTCACTGGCAGCAGGACACCAGCATGTATTTTGTGCCTTTGGTACTCCGAGAAGATTTCTGATAATTAGTTTGGAACAACTCCTTATAAAGCTTTTAAGTTCCTTTAATATTTCACCCATACCTGATGGCAGTAAGTAGACATGTTTAATGGGCGATAGTGACTAACTGGAAGCTGTCTTTTGCCCTGCTATCAAGATGCGTCCTGGTATTTGATTACTAGTGCTTGCATTTATAAACGTTACAAACGAGATAAACAAAGAAAGAACCAACACTATCATATATATGACAAAAAACTTCCAAAAAATTTAATTTTCACTCAAGACAAATATATACAGTACATCAATTAGACCTAGATTTTTTTGGACATGAAGGATTTCTACAGGATTCCGCCTTCTTGCACTTTTTCCCGGGCCAATAGGTGTCCAAGATAATAGGGACGCAGGATATACAGCCGACGGCGATCATGGCGGTCATACAGGAGACACAAATTATCATGACGGGGAACATCTACTTCTTCAAGCACTTGATGAACTTGTTCATCTCCAACTGTCGGTAGCAGACGGGCACGCACGCGAGGATCGTGGCTGAGGCGATCAGGGCGTACAAGGAAATGCAAATCATGTTTCGACAACGCCCGAGACCGCGTCAAGCCACCTTGATTGATTTTAAATCACTTCCTTTCAAATGATGATTTCTGAAAAGAAATTTTCACATATTTATAAATAATAGAAAAGAATTTGCAAATCCAATATAAATATTATCTATTAGGATTTAAATTTGGTTGGTTTATCAACGCAAATCATTTATTTATTAAGTCTATTTTATTTTACTTTATTATTTATAAAATATCACATATTGCGTTGCATACTTGCATGCCTTTTTGCATATAAAGCATTTCGAAATTAATTTAAATCTGAAATCTAAAGTAACATTACGTCAATGAAATTATAAACATTGTCCTTATGAGTGCAATTATTATCTTTTACTTGAACGAAAACATCCTAAGTAACAGGTAATTTGACTATGAATTCGATAATATTGACTGGAATTATTCACTAAACACAATCTTACTAATATAAATGCAAATGTCTAGATGGATGGATGTTTGTTTGTATGTATCTATAAAACGGCTGAACGTATCTCCATGAAATTTGGCATACAGATAGAATAAAGTTTGGAAGAACACATAGGCTAGTAATTATGTGTTTTTTAATTCTTCGAAAACGAAGACGCGGGCGACAGCTAGTAGGAATATATAAATTCTATTATACTGACCTTAACACCTAGATGTAGATCATCCAATAATACATAAGGAAGTCGAAACAATGCAGTATTATAACACAGGACACATAATTTGATGAAAACCAAAAATTTAACGATTTTACAATTTCTCTTTACAGACAATCCATTATGACAGTTCTTGGGGTGTCTAATTTGAATGAATTTCTTTTTTCTGTGTGTACAGAATTATATAAAGAAGCAAAAAGGTTTGTTGTTTAAACTGACAGAATATTATTGCAAAAGTTTTGATTACCAACTGTTTGCCTTTAACTTTTTGGTAGGAGTTGAATTCACTTAATTCTACTACATTATATCATTGACATTTACTTTGTCGTACTAACGTAACTGGTTTATCTTATAAATTATATTTATTATAGGTTTTTTTTAATTGTTGGAGATCAAAGCCCACATCGGGTCCCTGCGTCACCTTAGTTTATATGAGATTGTCATTTTTGATTCGAAATTGTTTATCTAATCGTGTGTTATCACCAGCGAGGCTTATTTTTTCTTCATAATTGAATAATTTATTGAATATCGCAATAACAACAAAGCACCATAAAGCATTTGCAACTTTTGTTATTTATCTTTCAATATTGTAATGAAAACTCTTTGAAATCTGATAGATATATTTTATTTCAATTAAGAATATAAATAAGTCAATTTCAAGCTGTCAAATCATTAGATAGTAATTTGTTTATTTTGCTAAATAAAACGAATTATATTTTCTCTTCAGATACAAAAAAAAACCATTAAATACCTATGTAGAAAAATAGTAAATTAGGGGCAATTTATCGTTGCCGTATAAGTGTACTAGGATTGTAAATCATTTAAATGAGACTTTTAGTGATATTCCTCCTGACGTTAGTGTCAGTCTGGGGTTTCCCGGAGAGGAGAGCGGCACAGAACGAAAATTTAATAAAACAACCACACGAAGAAAGAAAGAACAAAGTGCGGGAAACGCCCAGGGATTGCAAAGGGAAATGTGCAACTAGTATAGCACAGAAAGCGGCTGCCGAAGCTAAGGCGGCACAGGCGGCGCAAAATGCCGCCGGTGCTCAGGCCGCTCACATGGTAAGTACTCAGAATATTCTAAATTAAGAATCAATTAACAAGTAGACATAATACAAAGCGAGATTTATTTGCAATTTGAAAATACAAATTGAAGCTTCTACTAGTGAACTTAACATTTATATTTAACTTTATCCTTGATTCGTAGATTATAGTTTCGATTTAAGGTTTCGTTTCTCGAAAAGCACTTTGCCAAGAATTATGAATGTAAAGTGACAACTTAAAGTCAGTGCCAATTAGACAGCTGAGTTTAGATGCGATGCGGTTTGCATCCATTGATTTAATTTGACAGCGAGTTCAAACGGTTTTTCTTAAAGAACCCAATTTTAATAAGGGATAGTTAGGAATACGTGTGCCCTCTTATTTACTCATAGTGTCAGATGGGGATGATATGACTGACAGAATAGGACGATGACATCAATAATGAAATTCTAAACGTTGCTTTAAACCATTCAATATAATCTAACCGAACCTAACCTTTGCTTGCAGTTTGAATTCAGCAGATAAACAAGCGAGTAACCTAACATTGCAGAAGCCTTGTTAACGTTTTTTTTAGAGGAAACATGAAAGTGGGAATTGCCAACGAAAATTGAAATGACGGAATTTAATTTTCAATCCAGGTCAAAACGCAATTGGCGGAGAAAGCGCTGCAAGCTGCTAAAGCGGCCGAAGCAGCGCTCGCCGGGAAGCAGGCGGTGGTGGAGCAGCTGCAGCAGGAGGTGAAGGAGGCAGAGGCCGTGGTGGCGGAGAACACTGCCGCCGTGCACCAGCAGCAAGGCACCGTCAATGCGGCCGTGCAAGCCGCGCAACAAGCTACGGCTCAAGTAAGAGATTGTAAGACGTCAGAGAGAGATACAAAATTATTGCACTCTTCAAACTCCAGTCGTTATCTCGCACACATTTCAGATTTATTCTGTAAAAAAAATGGGTCATTTTTGATACCTGAAATTGCAGGATCTGAACGTATCAATACCCTCAGCATGTATTTATATATAAATTGGAATTCTTTGTCGATCTTTACTAAAAATGGTTGATAGCTAGATAGCAATTAAGATTAACATACAGAGTATATCTAGATCTACATTTTCTTCAATGTTTTATCATGACAGCACAAGCTGATGTGCCAGGCGACGCAGCTCGCTGCTCAACTGGAAAAGTCCGCCCACAACGTCCTGGAGAAGACCAAGTTCGGGCTGCAGGAGAAATGTCATAATCTGTCTGAGGCGAGGGCGCGGCTGGCACATCTACAGCACAAGCTGCAGTGCGCCTGCGCCGAATGCTCGGCCACCAAGCAGGCTGCGCACTGCGCCTGCGAAGCGGCTCGAGCCGCCTGCGGCAATGCGAGAAAGAAGAAACGCTCTATTAGTCAGCGTACGAGATTACAAAGGAAAAATAAACGCGGCCGATGATAAAATCATGATATTTACAATTGGAATGAGGTATTTTGGTATGTATTGGGAACTTTGTGTTTTGCTATCGTTTGTTTGTAAACAAACGTCTTTTAATCCAGTGATTCAATCTGTTGAAAAGTCTAACCGAAATTATGTAATATATTGGGGTAGAGTGAACAAGGTACATCGAATGGCTTTTTGTAATAACTTGATTTACTATAGTTTTCTAGTGTTGTATGTTAAGACGTGAAGTTCTTGTAAGCTTTTGATAAAATTTGTTTAAGCTTCTGATATTATAGTTCTAGATGTTATTGTAAATTTGAAGTTTTATTTATTTAATTTTGATTTGAATCGTCAAAAATGTAAAGCTGATATTAATGCAGTTCCTTTGATTAGAGATGAAGATAGAGTCGGAAAGTATAAGCAGTGGAAGTTTTGGATAACCTTTATTATTAAATTATATTTTACAATTCGTGAAATAGTTTGTCTCAAATTATTCCCAACTAATATTTCTTCCTTTTCCTATTACTTATGGCATACACGCCCTATGTGTCTTGTGTCGGAGGCCAAGACCCACTTTGGGTCGATGCGCCAGCGGAGTAAGTAAGTATACACGCCCTATTCACCCTGATTCTCGTTATAATAAAACGAAAGCTTAACTTTTACAAATATTTAATTATATATCGGAATAATATACGTTATTTATACAAGTTGTAATTTCAGACATATTGCACGTAACATTTGGTAGTCATAATATAGAGATGATGTTTAATGAAGTAAGAAATATATAAATTTTTACAAAAGATATATTTTTTTGGACAATCCATGGTTTAGTTACGATGAGTAACTTTTTGCTTTTTATTCATTGTGTTGCAATCACTCTCTAATTTCTTTTAAACCAGTCTTAATATTTTTTGAGCAATGCTTTCTGAAGTTGTAGAGTTTTTTTATTTTTGACAAATTTTATCGGCATTAAAAATAATAATTACTGTAACTTAGTGTTTATTTGTCTTGATGCAAGAAATTTACGAGTATTTATTCAAGATATAGAAATGTTATATTGTAATAAGATAAAGATTATGCAAAAACGTTGTCATAATATCAGATTTTTTCACCGCATATTCCCCATTAAAAAACTAAAATGATCGAGTACCTAAAATTAAAGTAAATAAATGCGAATTATTCCACTCCTTTCCTGAGCTTCTTTGTAATACTTGGCATATTTTAAAATATCTTATTAAATAGTCCTTAAATATTTTTAATATCTACTCTAAATTTAAATTTATTAATTGTCCAATTTTAACATTCACGTTGGCTTACACTTATTAACTACTCAACTATACTAAATGCATCATTAAGATTTTGTGGACTAAATGCTAAGTTGCTATGTTTATAATTAATGTAAGGTGACATCGTCGCTGATGATGCAACATCTGGGTCCACCGCACCGGGTGGAGCAAAGTTTTCATCATCAGCCATCATCCCTCGGGAATTGTAATTAGCGTAATGTCTACCCGGGGGCTCCGCGTACCTCCCACCAACTATTACGTCATCCTCTGCCTCGTCTCTTATCAATGATGATTTAACAGGCTTACTCCTTCCCTTAAACCTTTCAGCTCTCTTCTGTTTCTTCCTTTTATTAAACATATCCATCTTTAACGTTTTCTCTGAATTGTACACATCAGAAAATATATTCTCATCGTCATCTATACCTAGGGGTACTTGGTAATCAGGACTCCTTACCTTTGGACGACTTTTCTCAGGAGTTCCGAAATTTTCATCGAAATCATTCAAGTATATGGTATCTATAATTTTTGATTTGTGGTCTAAATAATCCGGCTCATCCAAATCGATTGGATCGGATAACTTTTGTCGGGGCGGGCTTGGAATCTTTGCCACTGTTTTTACCTGACTCGTATGAATGTCTGGTCGATCACCATAATTTCTTTTCATGTTTTTGTTAATCTCATATTCAGGGCCACGTATTTGAGTCAATTGATGATTTTCGGATGACGCGTAATTACCGTCAAAATCATTGAAGTAAATGGGTTCCTTCTTTTTTGCCTTCTGCTCTAAATAATCATGTTCCTCGGTATCGATTGAGTCTAAAAACTTTTGCCGAGCGAATTTCGGAACATCTGGCACTACTTTTATTTGACTTCTATAGACATCTGGCGGTTCTCCATAATTCATTTTACTTTTCTTCTCAACGTAGTAATCGTTTGGTGGCTCTCCGAATCCTGCGGGTTTAGGAGTGAATGAAAAATCAGGACTTCTTTTCAATAGACCATATAAAGGTTTGAAGTCTTGGGTCCTCGGGTTTGCGTAACGAATTTTTGGCGGGCGCTTGTAATGGCTCGGCGGGCTGTATTTAGGATTAACACTCTTCCTGTATTTCCTCATAACTTTTCTGCTCGGTTTAGCAGATCGTTGTTTTGTTCTAGTAACTCCGTATGCAGGTTTTGGACTCCTATATTTGGGGTTTGATACTCTTTTATAAATAAATTTGGGTCTATGTTTAAGAATAGGTCGATAGGGAAAGTGGTCGATGACGAGAGGCGCGTCCCGTTTTACTATTTGTTTTCGTTCTTTGTCATCGCTTAGTTCATATTCTTGACTTTTGTAGTCTGCCTGAGTGCAGCTGATGGTTATTGTGACCTGGAAAAGAAATATTATTATATTAATATGTAAGTTAAAATACGCGAAAACAAAACGTTCATAATGGTTTTAGATAGAATATTACAAAGTCCCATTGAAAATAGGCGTGAAATGAACATTCTACTTAAAATTTTGTTTTACATGCATGTGTCTTTTCTTTTTCATAATTTTTAGTGTGAATTTTAAAGAAAAAACAAAATTAAAGTTCTTCTGTTATTTTGCCTTGAAAAGTTCAAACGGCGCAAACCACATTGCCTGCGTCACACCTGCGTCATAATGTTTAGATAGGCATATATGCATAATAAAAGGTCGAGAGAGTTTAGTATTTATGCGAATTGGATTTCAATTTCAAAGTTAAACTTAATTTCACTTAACTGATTTTGAACGTTTACATATAATTTGCATTAATTCACCGCGAACTTTCACCATTGGTTATGATAATGGGATAACTTTACGGAATACTTAACAAGTTGGTTAACCCATGATGCTGACAATTCAAGTTAATTTTAACTTATAAACAAACAAGTAGGTTGTGATATTTTAATAAGTAATATTAATTGCGAGTCTGAAACTACTAATATCGCCTTTTAATCATTCCAACGGTTTCAAATAAATTCTTATCAATAGCCTACCTACTTACAGATTCAGACATCTGTAGAGTCAAAGCAGTTTGATTAATTGGGATCACAATTGTTTTTTTTTTAAAAGAGCCTTATTTTACGTACAATACTTTTTTGATTTATGAACCAGAAGCAATTAAATATGAGTTTGTTATGAAGAATATTAACATGTTGAGCGCCACGTCAGCCATCGGTGGCTGACACTAGTCTTTTCGTTTAGGTCGCGTCAACCATCGGTGGCTGACAGCGTGTAACATGAGAACTATAAAATTTTACACTATTACATATTATATTTAACAAAGCCTATAGGTATAACGTTAAAAATGTAAACTATTTTGTACAGCGATCGGAAACACCGGCCCTTTTATACCAGTGCGTATAAGCGGCGCTCGTGGCCTGAACGGGATTGTCTTAGAAATACGCGTGGCGTCTCAACGTGCTAAGTGATATATTTTTGGACATTTAATACAAAAGTAACATTGGTATTTCGCTTGGCACAAGACCAGGAAAGTTGGCTGAGCTGACGGCCAACCTCCATTAAATGGAGAGGCATCTTGAGAGAGAGAGAGAGAGAGAGAGAGAACAGTGGTAGAGTATACAATTTCATTTGACGACTTTCACACTTCTACCCGTATCAAATTATTGTAAATATCTTGTTACAATGATTTCTAACGGCTACTTTGTAATATAGACTGAGTTAATGGTTTGAGTATTTAATTGCAAAGGTAAGTACATGGTTAAATTCCCATTCATTTGATTTCCCGCAACTTTGTATGCGTACTATAATAATTTCGTTATTCATAAATATAGGTTTCCTATGCTGTTACATTAAGACTAAACTGTACTTCTATAATTATTCTGTTTCAAAATTTTATTGATTGCGAATTTTTTATTTAACTTTGACTCTCGAGTTTGTCTATTTGGTTAAACATAAAATATACCAAAAGAAAGATTTCTTTTAATCAACGCGTGTTTTCTATAAGGCTGATTGCTGGAACTCATTCAATTTATTTGGATTATTTTTTTAATCTGTATTTATATTTAGTTTGCCTATGTAATCATAGGCAAACTAAATTGCATCCGTAAGTCACCGTTACAATGAAAATCTAAACGTAACTATGTGAACTGGACAACACGTTGTTTATAATAACCGGTAACCAGTTGTTTAACAAAAAAAACCGTTTTAATAGCTAGGGAAAGGTAAGTAGCTGTGTTTATGGTGAAAGTTACAAAATATCTATTAAGGTCGACGTGAGAGAGATTTTTTTGTTTTTTAATAGACCACCATGGTGTTATACGATTTTTAGTTACGTAGATAAAACTTTTCTAATCCAAATTTATGTAAATTACAAACCTACTGTAAATTATCAAAGATTTCTTAATACATCTACTGCCTAATACATTTGTAAACTAACCAATTTCATACCTGATCGGTGACACGAAATACAGTCGACTTAAGGATTAGCATAAAAGGTGTGATTTATAAATCGTCTAGTACGTTTATAAAATGATCAAAGTCACAATCGATTGGTGGCATACACAATACTCTGTAGACTTAATAATTTTTGCCACAAAAGATGTAATAAATGTTACTGTAAATAATGGGATAAAAGTTTTTTTTGTTTTTATATCATAAGGTGGCAAACAAACGAGCGGTCACCTAAAATCGCTGAAATAGCGAAGTGACCGTTGCCCATAGACATACGCAATTCCATATGCGTTGCCTCACTTTAATCGACGGAGGAGAGGACGCACAGGAAGAAAAAATGTTTTCGCTATCCATGCATCATCTCATCCGGAAACTCCACTTCGATTTCCCATACTTTCCTTATATGAAAAAGGGTGGGTAGGGAAAGAGGACTAAATGAGGCCTCCGGGACGCACACTCATTAGACTGTACTTGGAATTGCTTCCACTTCACGCCTGTCTTCTGTGTGGTCGTGGTATTTCACCGGGCGAGCCGGGCCAATTCGTGCGAACATGTTAAAGCGGGCTCTACCACTGTTATAACTAATTGTAAAACAACTAGCTGTCGTCCACGACTCCGTCCACGCGGGACTAAAAATCTTAGTCTATGTGTTTTTCTAAGCTATGTTCTACATTTATGCCAAACAGCGTAATCCATGCAGACGTTCTCGACACACGTTCTTTAAACATTCATAGAAACTTTCGCATTTATAATATTACTAAGAGTTAAGATGATCAGACTCCTGGCAATGGTGACAAAAATGTTTTCTACGGTTTGTTAATGGCATTTACAATTTAGTCTCACGATCAAACAGTGCGTGTTGACGTGCGACATAGAAATTACGAAATTTGAGTTCGTGAGACTCTCATTCATCATCCTGTTTATGTATTCTAAATACCGTTTTGTTAGTGACGAACATCGATATAAAACAAACAGTATTTCATTTAATATATATCTATATATATATATATATATATATATATATATATATATATATATATATATATATATATATATATATATATAATTCTTCTGTGAGTGTGTATGTAACTGAACTTCTCTCAAACGACTGGACCGATTTTGATGAAATTTTTTGTGTGTGTTCAAGGGGAATCTGGGAATGGTGTAGATTCACAATTTTGTCCGCTGGACAATGTTTTTTTAATTAATTTTTAATTTATTAGTAGTTGTTGATTTTGGAATGTTTTACATTGTATCCGACAGACGGCGCTACCATCGCAGTGTCATTTTTTCACACGTCTACACGTCTTTAATTCGAATATTTCGAATTAAAGACGTGTAGACAGGACAAAGTCTGTGGGGTCCGCTAGTATATATATATATATATATATATATATATATATATATATATATAAAATATATAAAGCCGTTCTTGAGTTATAAATAGTGTAACTAACACGACTTTCTTTTTTATATATATATATATATATATATATATATATATATATATATATATATATATATATATATATATATATATATAAAAAAGAAAGTCGTGTTAGTTACACTATTTATAACTCAAGAACGGCTTTACCGATATGGTTGAAAATTGGTGAGGAGGTAGCTTAGAGCTAGGAGACGGACATAGGATACTATTTATTCTTTATTTAGTACTAATATCACTCTTGGTCGTGCTGACATCTATAGTGAGAAAACGGTAGTTTTTCTCTCCAGTTGCCTACAGATCATAATCTACCGAGCATACAAACAAACAGACATCAAATACAACTATTGTATTTGTTTTTGTGTAAATTACGTAACAATTAAATTAAGCGAATAATTACAATTTTACGGACAATCATTTTAATAGTTAATAGGCGTCAATTTTAAAGAAAGTGTTGAAAAAGGCTTCTAGTACCCATAACCATTGGTTTACTCTGACGAAACAAATTTACTAAAACACAGCGTTAAAAATAAAACATAGAAGATTTACAGTTGGTTTCTTTAATATATTTTTTTTCTATAAAATTATAATTTTCAAAAAATTTTACTTTTAAAAACTATATTTTTAAAAAATTTTAATAATTAAAAATAAAAATTATTCTACAAAAAATGTTACATTTTAAACATCCTCTATATAAAAAATAACCAAAACACGATAGCAAAATTGTTTGAAATATCCGTCGTTTCTTAATTTTTTTTTTTAAAAAGCTTTCTTTTTACCAAATTGTGTTAGATGTGAATCAGCGCGTAGAAATTTATTATAATTTTATACTAAAAAAAATATTATTAGAATAAAACTGTGACTAACAGTGAAAGTTGTGTTTGATTGTTAAACGAACGTAACAGTTATTTGAAATATTTTAATTGTTATTTTTTATGTTTATAGATATGACCTGCGCACCTAACTTAAAACACACACACACACACACACACACACACACACGCACACACACACTTTCTCACATACTCACACGCATAATCATACACACACATGCTATCCTTTGATATTATTAGTAGTTCAAAATTACTTAGTTTAATGTCTTCATGTATTTTCTTATTTTCCAAATTGTATCTCATAATATCACGCTTAGTTTTACATGATATGTACGTACTGTTATTTTGTTTATGGCTAGTGCACTCCTAGGCCCCGGGATACAGGCTCAGCCTAGTTCGGGGTCTGCAAGATACTTCACTGTATATTATTCTAACATGTTTTTGTGTAATAAATTTATTCTTATTCTTATATTAAATTAAACCAATTTTGGTGTTTTATAGCGTTGAATCTTGTAGATTTTTTTAACTATACATAAAAATTAATATTATAAAAAAAAATTCGCTTTCGCCCGCTTCTCCGTCCGTGCGTAATTATAAAAACTTAATTAGTAGCCTATGTGTTCTTCCAGATTATGTTCTACATATATGCCAAAATTCACCAAGATTCGTCAAGGAGTTCTGAAGATACCTTCCAACACATAACTTACTAATATTATAAATGCGAATGTTTGAATGGTTGACGGTTGTTAGAAGGTATCTCCAGAATGACTGCATAGACATCGTTGTTGGCATAGATGTAGAACATAGTCTGGAAGAACACATAGACTACTAATTAAGTTTTTTGTAATCCCGCGCGAACCGAGTCTCGTGCACCGCTAATTTCCCATATTTATAGTAACAAGCAGTTCCTTTCACACCGGATCATTCATCCTTATTTGACAGTAATTTTTTGCAAACTTGTCAGTAAAATTTACTTCTCTCCAATTATAAAAATAACATTAACAGTGTAAACTAAACGCAACAATTACAATGGCTCACTGTTTGTTGTTTATATAAATATTTTATTGATGCTTTGAATATATAAACAATAAATAATTCAAAGTAATCATTATTTATCAAAATATTGTTCTTCATAGCTTATAGTCATAACAATGGATTGATAAATACATAATAAACGTTAATTCAAAGTTAATATATAATAAAACTAATCTCATTAATATGTCACTATTCCACATGACGAGAATCTCGTGAAAGCTGAAAAGGAAAAAGTGTTAAAATACCTAGATTTGGCTCACGAGGTTACCGCCATGTGGCGTATGAAATCGACTACCATTATTCCGATAGTCGTATCGGTAAATGGACTGATAGCGAAGAGCTTCGACCAACATCTCAAGAAGCTCTCGCTAAACAGTTGGATTAAGGGCCCGATACAAAAGGCAGTTATCCTAGAAACCGCGCGCATCGTGAGAAGGTTCCTGTCTCTGTAGCCCTGACCACTGGTTGTTTGAGTCATGGGATTCCGCATGCGGTGGTGTTCTGTTTTTAATATAATATGTTTTGTATATTTTTATGTTTTTTGGATATGAAATGTATTATATTAGAAATATGATAAATAAATGTATATGGATACAAACTAAATGCGAATGTTAATATGGATGTTTGTTAGAAAGTATCTGCAGAACAGCTGAACGGATCTCGATGTAATTTGGCAAAGATGTAGAACATAGTCTGGAAGAACACATAGACTATTAATGTTTTTTTACGCGAGTACGGAATCGCGAGCGACTGACAGTTGTTAATAAATCTGTTAACCCGAAAGAAAGTAACCTTATAATACCCCAGGGCTGTGACGATACGAATGACATTCACTAATCAAAATTCAGCCGTTTTGGCTACAGGGTGTTACTATGAAATGGACATAAATACTGTTAGGAAGAAAATCCGAAAATCTGGCAGTGTAACCCAACACTAGCCTTACTAAATTGTCGACGTTTATGTCCCATCAGTATTCATTCTGACACTGGACTTTTTAACGAAAGCACGTCATTCGCGCCAACTGATTCTAACTAATACTGTCTTGTTAGTCCGGGAAAATAAAATTATTTGCCGTTAAAAATCACAAAACGCTATACGTAAGATTATGAATTCAAAACACAATAAAATCACAATGAAATAGATATACAAAGTTATACACAAAAAGACTGAGACTTTATTTATATAAAAAAAACTATTTGTCTCTAGTTTGTTATTTGCTATATATAGTGTTTATTTTGACTACGAAGTTATTTCTTTATCTCTTACAAACATACCCACAGTCTTTATAATATTTAATATAAATAAACGATTAATTAATAACATTTTGTTATAATTCACATAGACAAAATATAAACATATATTATATAGTCATAATAAATGCTTGCTTTATGTATTTCTATAATTTCTTATATAAAAATAAAATTCTTCCCACGGTAGCTATAACTAGGTAATGTTTTTTTTTGTTTTCTTAAATACATTGCGAATGCTTACATTTAATTTCATACAATTTATAATATGATTATATAACAACTAGCTATCGCCCGCGACTCCGTTCACGCGGGATTCTAAAAACCTAATTAGTAGCCTAAGAGTTTTTCCAGACTAGGTTTTATATCTATACCAAATTTCAGGTAGGTCCATGCTGCCGTTCTTCTGTTCTTAAAGACATCCATCCATATATCCAAACATTCGCATTTATAATGTTAGTAAGATAGAGAGCTCTCTTAGGTAACTCAATTAAAAGTGATGACCTGCAGATCAGTTCACACTTCGCACCTCTGAACAGGCTCGCAGATCATTTCAATTTATTCCTAGATAGACCTGGAGGTCGGTCGCAAAATACATCGCGTTGAACCAAGAGCTACAAATTTTATTGTTGAGTCGCAGCTCAACAGTTCAAATCATTGTGAGCTGAACTATTGATCCGGCTCAGAGATACACACGTCTATAGATAGCAGTTGACCGCGACTACGTCCACGCGGGGTTTAAGAAAAATCTTGTAATAAATATTGCCTTATTCGGGGATAATGTAGCCTTCTAACAGTGAAAGAATCTTTCAAATTAATTGAGTAGTTTCAGAGCCTATTTAAACAGAACAGAAGACAGTTTGGCAAAATGTAAAAAATACAATTTCACTTTGGTTCAAATCCAAACAGATGAATCGCGACGACGTTGGGCAGTAAATTAAATTTGTCAGTCGATTTTAAGTCGTCTCTGGAGAGTCATTTGCAATTCTATTATTAAAAATAAACAAAATAACTAATTAACAGATAATTGTTTCATAAATTAAAGTTAAATTAAAGGCCTAATTTAGTCCTCTTTCTCTTCCCACCGCTTTTCTTATAAGGAAACGATGGGAGGGAAGTTGAAGTGGACTTTCCGGATGAGAGAATGCATGGAAAGGGAAAATATTTTCTTTCTGTGCATCCTCTCCTCCGTCGATTGAGGGTAGGCAACGCATATGCAATTGCGTGAGTCTATGGGCATGGTCCCTTCGCTATTTCAGCGATTTCAGGTTGCCGCTCGTTCGTTTGCCACCTTATAATATAAAAAAAGTAAATTGATAAAAAGATATATTTCGTACGATAATATTTAATTTAGTTAATTTTAATAATATATTTTATAAAGCTTGGAATATTTGAAGCATTTTTACAACCAGAAAACTACTCCATAAAACTTTGAACTCTGAACAAAACTGCACCAATTAGCTGACACAAAGTTGCACCCTTACCATTTATTGAAATTCATTTCTTTGTTATCATACTTTACAAGAAATTTTTATTCTATTCGCTACAACTAATTTTCTATGACAATAAAGGAGATTCTTTTTGTTATCACCTGATATTTAAAAATAATGTTATTAAAACAAAAACTGGCCAGTACATGTAAATATTTTTAATTTTTTAATGTCTTTAAAAGCGTATTTTTTTAATTTAAATTAGTATATTTAATTGTTCTTTTCACCTAAATTGAATTACTTTTGTATTTAACAATTTCTATATGTTATATTGCTAATTTCGTTAGCCATATTAAAACAAAAATATATAAAAAATAATACTCACAGTTAGAAAAGCGTAACATAATATATCGGAGAGCAGCATTGTAGCACATGTACACTTAAGTCGATAAATTAATAGACAAACATCTGTATGCACTTATAAAAAATCCTGTCATCTGGACAGTGAGACGTAAAGTGCGTGCGAACAGTGCGCGTGCGGGCGACACAGTGCGCGTGCGGGCCGACAGATGACTGTCCGCCGACAGACTGTGACCGGACATAAAGAGTTGATATTACCACCTTTCTAAACATTTGCATTGTATATAAAGTAGATCATTTAACAAAAAATAATAAATAAAAAAAAATAATATTGAATCAGAATCTAAGTATGAAATCTTCGATCGATTAGCTGTCGCCCTCGACCCCGCCCGCATATAATTAAAAATAATTAGTAGCCTATCTGTTCTTCAGGGCTATGTTCTACATCTAGGCTAAATTTCAGTGAGATCTATGCAACCGTTCTGGAGATACCTTCTTACAAACATCCATACATCCAAACTTTCGCATTTATAATATTAGTAAGAAGTAAGAATTAGAATAATGTTTATTGCAGTTCTATAAACCGACTAGAAAAAAAAATTACGGTGATGGAAAGAAAAGGGAAGAAATTAAAAGATATATATGAAGTCAAGTAACCCGCACGGACATTGAGTCCCTTGTGTGGGTTGTATATACTGAAAATTCAAGTATTTTGCGATGGTAAAAACAACTCTTAAATTATATTTGCTATATTCATAGAAGCATACACCGCTCTCACATTAAACCGATTGTTTATTTATAAATACAAACAAGTAGTTTTTTTTTTGTTTTGTTTACAGTCCGCTTGCAACAATCGACTCATCTGCTATATCTTGAACACTGTATGCAAACATATTTGTTGCATATATTTTATATTATACTAGCTGTCGCCCGCTACTCCGTACGCTTGGATAATTTTTTTTAATAAGTAGTCTATGTGGTCTTACAGGCTATGTTCTACATCTGTGCCAAATTTCATCAAGTTCCGTTGAACCATTTCGGAGATACCTTCTAACAAACATCCATCCAAACTTTCACATGTATATTAGTGAGATGTAGATCGGATACTTCTTTATCTTTTTTGACATTTCTGCAACATTAATTTGAACTCTTAAATGTTCTTAAATTAATCGATAAAAATAAGTGATATTGTCAGCCAGTTTTAAATATAATTTCTCATTTGTATTGAATTCTCGGAAGAAGCCAGCAGTCCATCTATCATCAGCCTAAAATCTTTGCATTGGAAGTTGTCCTGACGAATTTAAACCCATCTAATAGTGTCGAGTTGTGTGTTTATCTTTACAAGTGAAATTTCACCTACATTGTAATTAGTTATGGCAAGTTAAACACGGTTTTGGATAGGCATCGTTGATAATTCAACTGTTTCGACACACTTTTACATAAGAAATAATTTTGTATAAACAATTATTAATATTTTCTTTTAAACTTGGATTAATAATGTATGTACTATAAGAATAATATAATATTGATCGAATTTAATTCACTGATAACAGATCTATTACGAATATATTCGTGACATTTGCGAAATCTTATTTTTTAACGTCATAGATAAAATTTGTTTGAGAATTGTTGATTTGTATACAAATTTTGTCGTTAATCTATTGAAAACGTTTTGATAAATATTCATACTAGGTTTCCAGTACAATGTTTTTATCAAAATAATTTTGTTGTGTTTATTAAAGCGCCCTCTATAATTTTTTTTAAAAAACAATGTTTGCCTTAACGTACAAGCGCTTATCCTATCCACCGTAAGATGTCGCTACTAATTTATTTTCTTAAACATATTTTTCTTTTTTTTTCACAACTTTTGTTTTTGTTTAAAAAAAAATACAATATTTTTAATTATCAACTAATGTCTTTTTAATACATCTTTTCACTTTTAAATTTTTACATCGTTTAACATTTTGAACGAAATATGTTTTATATCTTCGCAATAGATGGCGCTTTTTATAACGCGTAAATTAAGTTAAATCTGGTTGTGATAATAAAACAAAAAGGAATCAGTGGCTTGAAAAATTTATTTGATTTTCTTTTAATTACATAATAACACTATGCTAAAATAAATACAGAAGTTGTATTGATATTTCCATCTTAATTATATGTTCAATTAAATAATTATGAATAATTCATTATAATATGTACGAAAATGTATTCGTAATAAAGCGTCTACCTTAATTATTTATTTACATTTACTATTACATTCGAGCAAACTTTTTATTTATAATTATGAAAAGGAATATTGTGGATAGAAAATTACATCACAATTTTGCGAATTACAAACTAGTAAATCGGATAATTTTTTAATAATTGTGTTTTTTATAATATAATAAGATATGCAATTAAATATTGTGATTATAACGTCGCCAATTTGATCATAGAATACAATGAGTAAAACATGATAAGTTTATTATTAATAATTACTTTCATTTAGATGTTTAAACGTCAGAGAGATCACCAAAAGAAGGCATATTAGTTACTTTTTATTATTACCTTATAAGTTTCTACCTTAATTTTTATCTGGCGACGTTTATAAAATTTTTATTCAGAAATAATTTTAGTCAATACACTTACTGTACTCATGTTTGGAAGAAGAGTTAGGACCCTTGGTGCCACATTGTGCCACGGTGTGGCAGCACTTGTATATGCAACCCGTATTAACAATACAATTTTAAGGAATATACAGTGAGAAGACAAAATGTTTGATATTAGCATAGCGAAGAACAATAAAAAAATTCAAACTTTGTATAAAAATAAGTGGATCAATGAACAAAATTCTTGTCGCTAAAATTCAACTGTGATTAGAAACATACTTCAAAAGCTTGAGGAATTATTGTTATTTCAACTATGTTATTTATATTCATTTACAATTTCTCTATTGTTTTTCGCAATACAATCTCATTAATATTATACTTATTTCTAATCGGCGAGCGAGTACCGCACTCCGGATTGCCTGCCAACACCGCCTCACTGTAGCACAATGGATATCATGTTAAAAACTGTCATTTGATATTAAATCCTTTGACGGTGAATCCATATCATTTAATTAAAATAATTCAAAGTTTTGATTGACATCATAACAGTTTTATACTTTTGTGAGAAAAAACATGAAAGTTCCAAATAAGACTTGTAAAACCATTTGATTGGATTCTTAAAAAAGTACAAAATAAAAAGTTTATCTTTTAAATATTGTACACTAAACGAGCGTTATAACAATACGGTATTAAGTATTAGAAGTTGCCCGCGCTTTGTTCGTGAGGAAAAAAAATCAAATAATAATTATAGCCTGTCACCCAGGGATAGTGTAGCTTCATAACAATGAAATTCAAATTATTCAAATCGCTCCAGTATTTTCGCAGCCTATTCGATGGAAAACAATCAAATCTTTCCTCTTTATTATTCGTTTAGATTCTAAAGACATGGATATACCGTCAGAAGAATATAATTTTATTAAAATATATAATTATCTGAGATCTATGTGTTAAAGGCACGCAATGTGTATATACAGAAAGTGCTCAGAGACTGACGTTGGCATGGCAATGTATTGTGCAATTGTTCCCATAACTATAACGAATCTTTAACACAATCAATTTAAAACACACGTATCTCCTACATGGTCTGTTTGTAATGTTCAATTAAAGTGCTGGATAAAAAACAAATAAATTAAATGACAAATAAAACTTCCTGACAAAATAGATTGCATTTCACAGCTTATTTGGTGATTGTGGAATGCGAAGATTTTATTTGTCAAATAAGTTTGAAGTAGCTTATTCAGGATTCACTCGAATATTGTGTAACGGGCCTTTTGTAAGGTAAATATAGATGTATGACATTTATAATAATGTCAAGGAGATAAAGAATAAAAATAATATAAAGTTAAAATACACAGAAAAGGATTTAGTTTATTTTTAAAGTTATGAATATCATTATCAAAGGTTTCTTTAGGTGGCTGCGCCAGCAGTGGAAGTTCTATCAAATTAAGTTATGATAACTTATTTTCGTAACGAATTAAGTTATGAGGACAATCGCACTTAATTTGTATGCTTAACGGAAGTACTGATATGTTAAAATCTTCATATATGATATATTCTTAATAATATATAAATAACTTTAATTTAATACTGAAAATAAAACGAAGCGATCTTTTTCATTAACTAATTTTGAATTAAATGATAAATAATTTCATTAAAAATAATATTTAATCTGTTTTAAACACGAATTTTGTTATTTGAACCTTTTAGGAAATAAAGCTCGATATACTTGATTAGGTGGTTGAACGGATAAAATAAATGAACTCATTAAAAAAATAAATGAAACAATTTTTAAATTTGGAACGCTTCGTTTCATTTCATTATCAAGCGAACACTCGGTGATTATACTGTAACACAAAGCCCAAGCTTTTATCATTTAAAATAGAATTATTTACAAAAAATATTAATATACGTGTGTGATTGCATCGCGTGATTTAATAATAATAATTAACTATAAAGATGGACTATCATGTTTTAAAATCGATATTTATTTTGAATATTTTCGATATAAATGTACATAAGGATATCTACAAACGTGATAATGAAAAGACCCTGTTTTAGTCTAACAAGACCTACTTAATAGACGAGCGATCGACGAGGGAACTTTTAATTATTTAATTTTATTTTACTGATTGAAAAATAAAATGAAACGAAATGAAACTCGTTTTATTTTATTTTCCATTTATTTAAATATAGTGTGTGTACAAATTATTGTTTTATTGTTGATGTTGAATCACAAAGATTCACTAGCTTTTTTAATAATTAACAGATTCGTTAATAATTTATTGTTCGTCTTCTATAAGTAATGTACTTATAATTTTAGAAATCATGGTAACTATTTTTCTTCCTCGTCGTTCGTCTTTAGGATCTATTATTATAGAAACAAGAAAATGTAGGTCTATTATTCAATATTAAGAGATTGCATAAATAATAATAAAAATTAACATCTACTCATTGAGTAGCTTCAGCGGTGTGGTAATGTGACTGATGATAGCGCCAAACCTGCGGTGGGGAATATTCCACGGGGACCTCTTGAGCAGTGCCGCCCGCACCCCACATCAACACCGTCTGCCGCGGTATCTCTGAAGGCTGAGTCTGTTGTAATCTCTCTTGCTCAGTAGACCCA